CGAGATCGTGACCTGGCTGAAGTCGGACGCTTAACCGACTGCGCCACCCAGGCGCCCCATGTGATTGGTTCTTGATGAAGAGAGCTGAAGGGCCACTGGGCCGTTTGGGGGCACATGCCCAGGCCAGGACACCAAGTGGTGCTGCCTCAGCATGAGGGACCCCCTCCAGCAGATCTCTTCGACGGGATGGAGTTTTGATGACCACCCCATTTGTAAGCATCAGAGAGAAGCCTTGTCCAACCACGAGACTTGATGGTTTTCAAATGGACAAACCTGATTTTAATAAGTTTAAGTGAAATCTGATAAGTAGATCAAGACGAATCAAGCTCCTGTGTAGTTCTAAAGAGCTGCCTGGACCTACAGCAGTGGGGCGTCAACTCTCCCTCCGCCTCAGAGACTCGTCCGGTTTGATACATCCTTGCAGTCTTGACCCGCCTGTGGCCTGTCTGCCAAGGCATTTCCTCCCGCCTCTGTTTCAACGTGTCCGCTTCCCTCTCAAGGAGGCGTTTTCTTGCTGGGAGCAGATGATTACTTATTCATAACATTTGTTGGAATTGGTACAGACAGAATTCAGTACATTTCTCTCTTTTGACTTTACCATCAAAAGCCAGAGATGGGGAGGGCATCTGAACTGACCCAAGTTTTGGGAGAACAGTGTGGCAGCTCTTCCTTCCTGGCTGACACTGTGGAGGGAAATCCAAGCAGACTCCAAGAAATCCAACAAGCAGGGTAGAATTAAAAACCCCGTCATTCCAAGTTTCTGATCTGGGGCCAGAATATAGGCCATTGAAACTGTGTGGGCAAATGCTCCTGCTTTTGCTTCCTGCAAGAGACACAGAGGGGCAGGGCTGGTGCCCTGGCGAGGGCCAGGGCAAGTAGCTTAAGAACAACTCTGAAAGCGGTGTAGATGTTTTCTTAAGTCTACAAGAAAAAGAAGGGGCAGGAGGAAAAGTACCTTGAGATTAGCTGTTTACCTTCCCCCAACCTGTTGAAAACAGGAAGGCAGAATTGCACAGTAGAAGGAGATGTAATGCCGAGTCACATAACCGTTCCTCACATTGACCCATCGCTTATCCTAAAGTCAAAGGCACAGACACCTCCCCTCCCCACCCTGCCCCAGGGTGGACAACCAGATTTCACTTTACTGTGTATGGCACTGTGGTTCTTGGAGGTTGCTGGAACGGCTGCAAGATACCCGGGTCTGCTTCTGCCATCTGAAAGCAACACACCGTGCTTGCTTATTAGCTACCTTTCTTGATTATTAATGATACCCTTTGGACAGAGACTCCCAGGAAGGTTCTGCTGACTTCAGCTGGCTTGGCCTGGCCGCCAGCACATGTACCATATCCATCCCATCTGAAGACTCTCACTATTGGAGTCCCTTTTGAGGTTGACATTTTGAGCTAGGTTTTCCAGCTGGGTCCCAAGCCCCGGGCTTGGCCAGCCAGTGAGTAGGACCACAGAAATGGGGATGTGGCCCCAGAAGGGGATCCGACCCTGGCCCTGGGACATGAGAATGAAATGGAGGGGCTGTGGGCCTTGCACGCACATGTGCATGCATGCGTGCCTCTGTGTGTGTGTGTGTGTGTGTGTGTGTGTGTGTGTGTGTGTGTTAGGGTGGATTGGACAAGGCAGGGAGAGGAAACAAAGGAAAGATAAATGGTGAAGAAGAACTTGGAAAAAATTGAACTAGATTTATTCTGACAGTGTGTGGGCCTACAGCTGTAACATTATAAATCACTTCCCTACAGAGGAATTCACTTCCTGAGCCTTGCACAGCTTCATGAGCCTGGCATGCGTATGAGAACAGAACCTAGCAATCTGAGAAGGGAAAATGACGGCTTGCACAACTGTGGCTTGAAACCACAACTGGTGATTTTGTCAGCACAAGGGGCTCCTGGGACTCGGGCCCGGCGTGGCAGGGAGCTGAGACCGCTGAGGCATTCACTCCCAGTACTTCTAAGATGGGATCTTAAAGAGCGGACTGAAAAAAGTGTTTTGTGGTGGCCACATGGCCTTGAACTCTGGATTAAAAAAGAAAGTAAAGGGAATTTGGGATCTGAGGATGAGCCCAGGATCGGAGCATCCACAGAAGGTCTTTGTTCAGGTGATCCTTTTCTAGAAATGGGATGTCCAACTGACCAGCACAGACCCGGGTTCTCTCTCCGATCCTGTCTGCAAGAATATCCACAGCTCTAACGTGTTGGTGGGTACGTACCATGAGCTCAGGAATTGTGGTTGATTTAATAAATGAAAAATCAAATCCTGGTACAACTGGGAATTACTCTGGTCCCCTGGGTCAACATGACATGTCCCCTCCTACATGAAGTCTTTCCCAGTTTTGTTCTGTATTTTTTTTAAATGATATTTACCTGCTATCGTAGCTCTCTTGCACTATATGTAGCTTTCCACGAGTGCAGCGTTTGTGACTTCTCAGCCTGTGGAGAGCATAGTTCCATGCCTTGTGTGTGCCTGGCCCAGATCCATGTTAAACTGACTTGAGTTTATACGTAAGTGACCATTCATTAGGGAGTAACATTTCCTTGTCCAGACAAATGAAGGAAGAGGCTCTGTCACTTGCCTGTGATGTATAATTGCACCTGACTCATTAACTGGACATTGCAATGCTGGGGAGACTGAAGCAAGTTTCAGCTACTTGTAATGAGAATGGATCCACTAAGCCCTGTGAGAATGGCAGGTCTGTGGGCCACAGGGGGTCCACTTTGTGCTACTCAACGCTCAGCTCAGGAAGCATCTATCTACCTGCCTCCCAGTGTACCATTGCTCAGATGGTCAGGTGCATTCGGCGAATTTTCACCTCCCCCGCCAGCACTGTAATGGCAGATGCAGAGCAGACCTGGTCAGTTCCTCCATTTGGGTCCTGGGTCGATCCTGACTGTCCTTCAGAAGGTCTGTGCAGCTTTGCTGCCTGAGGACACCCTGTGTGCAGTGCCCTTTTCCCTAGGTGTCTTGGAAAGGAGGTTGTACAAAGACCCAGAGAGTAGAGGCTCTGATTTGTGGTGTTCTCAAGGGCAAGCCTGCACCTTGACAGCTTCCAGGTGTTGAGAATCAAGTTCTTCGGAATCACCATCTCTTGTCCTTTTCAACTATGCAAGGTAAGTATTAATTTCCATTGACTACACTTTATACGCAAGATGACTAAGTTACTGAGGTGGCAAGGATCTGGCTCAAGACTCTACAACTTTCCCATGGGCTTTGTATAACCAGTACCTAGCACAACAGGTATACATTGATTTCCATTCAATTTCATTTCTCTTTACCTTCTCAAATCTTTCAGCTTGGTATTTCTGTGGGCACAAGGAAACACACTCTGTTCTCTTGCGGGGCAAAGGTAAATCTAGTGCTGATGATGTAGAAAATAGTAATTAGGAGGATACCAAGGAAAAAGCAAAGATTGAAGAGGGTTGGGCCTCCGGATCTTACACTTCAAGCTCCCCCATCTTTGCACATGGAACCTTTGTTGTTCCACGTCCTCACTACCTACTCTGAAGCTCCAAGGGAGAGTCGGTTTCACATGTGCCTGGTGACGTCCAGCTCCATCCATCTGATCACGGACTCCTGCTCACACAGAGGCCACACAATGCCCTAGGCCCCTCTCTGCTACCTCAGCAGAACGTTTGCGCCGCTCCCTGAGCTTTATTTTTAGAAGCCTCCCTGGAGAGTGCATCTACCAATATTGTATTTCAATCTATGATGTGCTCGGTACTCCACCTCGTTAGCTCAAGTTCAGACGGTATGCCCTAGACAGTTGTTCCAGGGCTGGGTTGTCACTTTGGCGCAGTGTCTTAAATGTACTGGGATGGTCTTTGTAGTAACTTACAATGGGGTGGGAGTAGAGAGAAGAGCCTAATGAGAGGCCTTTGAGATGCGCTCAGTTTCTTTGTCCTTGAGTAAGACATGCATTTTATTTAATCTTTTTGCAGCCACAATCCTGCCATCTGGCCTTGGGGAAGAATCGAAAGAGAACTCTGCATGAAGACCCAAGGCAGACTACGACTCACATTTATATTAAATGGTAACTTCCCCCAAAGTCCTCATTAGTCAAGAGACACTATCATGTTGCCATGGGCAGCAGCGCTTGATAAAGAGCACTCTTGCATTTTCCTCCCATCTGTGTCCTCAAAAGAATCCATAAATTAGAATATCATGCTTATTCTTATTTCTTTACTGCCACATGCAGTAACTACTTTGAAGTCCCCAGGGCCAATAGATCATGGGCATTCAGTAAATCATATCACTTCTTTAGCACATACGTTCCTCATTTTCATAAGGACAGGGTTGAACTAGGTGACCTTTAAGGTCCCAAATCCAGACTATCTGAGAGAATCCTGACATCCAATGAGTACCTCCAATGGCTGAAGGTGTCAAATTTAGGGTAGGGGGCACACCATCGCTCATCTTCTGCCCAGATACGCAGGGGGTACAAAGGACGGCCTGAAAGGCAGTGGTATTTGTATTTAAAATTTATGTTATAAAGCACCATCATAAGATCACATGTGTCTCCCAGGGCTGGGATGTCCTGGTGTTTCTTGAAGGTCTTAGCTAGCTGTCTCCTGTCATGTGGAGCCCCAGGGGCAGAGTCTGAAGGTCAGGGCCAGGAGATGAGCAGACTTCCTTCCTTCCTTCCTTCCTTCCTTCCTTCCTTCCTTCTTTCTTTTTTTCTTTCTTTCTTTCTTTCTTTCTTTCTTTCTTTCTTTCTTTCTTTCCTTCTTTCTTTTTCTTTCTTCTTTCTTTCTGTTTATAATTTTGTAAAAGTTTTTATTTATTTATTTTGAGAGAGAGAGAGAGAGAGAGAGAGCAAGTGCACAGGAGAGGCAGAAAGTGAGAGGGAGAGAGAGAATACCAAGCAGGTTCCACACTGTCAGCGCAGAGCTCAACACTCTACTTGAACCCAAAAAACATGAGGTCATGACCTGAACCGAAATCAAGAGTCAGATGGTCAACCGGCTGAGCCACTCAGGCGCCCTGAGGAGCAGACTTTCATAGCTTTAGCATCAACCCTTGAGGTAACTTACTTGGATCCCCTGTGTCTCAGTGTCACTTGGAAATGGATAAGGATGCTCTTTGAAATTCCTATGTCCACAGGTTGGTTGAAGGTTTGACTATGAATATCGGCATTTGTAAGGTGCCTGCCAGTTGATAGAGACTTTCACCTTCATAATTTCTTTAGTCTTCCTACTTACCAGGAAGACTAGGTATTATTATTATTGCCCTTCTGCAGGTGAAGTCTCTAAAGCACCAGAGAGACTGAGTGAGTTGTGCATAATATTAGAGTAAATAAGTGGCAGATTGGAGCCCAGCCAGATGTTTCAATTCAAGTCCTGAGCATTTTCCCTATGCCACATGGTTGCCCAAGAAATTCTAGACTAAATCTGTCCATAACTTTTTTCAAGTTGAGGATAGCCCATTTGGCATTGTTCATTGTTCTTGCCTGCGTAAGTAATCACTCTGCATATAGGTGCTCTGGTTCCTGCACCTGTTTACACTGGCCATCCTTCTGATCTCATTCACATGTTTCTGTTACCTGGTGCTCTCACTGAAAAGGAATTTTGGCAATTACAATTATTCTGTAGTGTGATACACCTGTAGTCTCCAAGGAATGCTAAATAGATGTTTTTGGAAAATTATCAAGGAAAGCAAGGAAGGGTCCATCTTGATACATACAAAGAACACCTTTTGTCCATATAGTTCTCATGTCCATCTTCCCAACCACTCATGCATCCTTCCAACTAAGCATCCATCCATCCATCCATCCATCCATCCATCCATGTAAATCATTCACCCATCCTTCCATCCACTTATCCATCCATCCATCCATCCATCCATCCATCCATCCATCCGTGTAATCATTCATCCATCCTTCCATCCACTTATCCATCCATCCTTCCATCCACTTATCCATCCATCCATCCATCCATCCATCCATCCATGTAATCATTCATCCATCCTTCCATCCACTTATCCATCCATCCTTCTATCCTTCCATCCATCCACCTATCCATCCATCTATCTGTTCAGTATTGATCGCACACCTACTATGAGTTGGACACTCCAAAAGGCCTCTATATTATAATGTAGAACAAAAACTACACAAGACCTTCCATCATGGATCTTACAGTTCACTGGAGGGTATAGAGAAATAAATAGGCAAGTACAATTTTGTGTGAGAAGTGCTCTGATAGAGGGAGTATTGGGAGTTATGAAAGGATGCATGAAGGAGCCTTTTCCTTCTCTTTTAATTCTTGAATAGATTCTACTTTACTTGAAAGACATTCTGTGAAGATTGATATTTCATCAAAGGGTATTATGCTTTTGATATTGGTCATTGGTCACATTATGCCTTATATAGTTATCCTTTTATGAACATTCTCTCCCTTTCTCAATACACACACACACACACACACAGAGCTATTTTTAGGGAAGATTTTGTGAGACATGGAACACAGGGCTCTCCCTTCTATCAGATCCTGCACTCCTCTGGTACCCAGAGCATCAGGAGACAGCACCTATGAGGACAGCTGTGCTCACATGGGCACAGTAAGCAGTGTCAAGGTGGGTCACCCTACCCCAGTCCTCAGGGTCATGGGCAATGACATGAGGGTCTGAGAGAAGAGGGGGGATGGTAGGTGTGGCTGGACGTCTGGCTTGGGAGCATGGAATGTTTCCTTTGGATGGTCCTAGGAGTACTTTGGGATCGGGCTGCGGAGGATCCTGCCTGCATGCTTAGGGGAGAGGGTGTGGGCTGGGGGGTCTGCTTCACACACACTTCCTCAGCTGGATCCTAGGGCTCATGATGTCAGAGGCCATGTCTGAGGCACCCCATCCTTTGCAGACTTTTTGGCATCATGTATATGTGCCAGCCTCTGAAGCATCGGTGAGTTCTCTCTGGTTTGTGGAAGTGTTATACAGATCTGGGCTCAAAGTGTGGCATTTGTCACTTATGTTATTATTATTATTTTTTAGATTTCTTTTGGGAGAGAGCGCGTGCAAAAGCAGGGGAGGAGCAGAGAGGGAGGTAGAGAGAGAGAATCCCAAGCAGTCTTTTCACTGCCAGTGCAGGACCAGATGTGGGGATCGATCCCACAAACTGTCAGATCCAGACCTGAGCTGAAATGAAGAGTGGGACTCAACCAAATGAGCCACCCAGATGCCCCTGTCACTTATTAACCGTGGCTTTGGCCCAGTTACCCCCAGCGAGCCTTTTGGCGGCCACACCCTCGCACTTGACTTTACTCTGAGCTTCTCTCCTGCCACCCCCACCACCTTGACATGTCCTGCTTGTGCTGTCATCCGGGCGACCTCCGTACCAACTCTTCTGTTGTCTCTGTGTTCCATTTGGAATGTCCAGAAAACTTTGTGGTGGCTTCCCTTCGGGCACTTTGCACGCTTCTACCTTTGAATAAAGCCGGTTCTGCACAGGGCTGACTTTCCCCTGTGGGGCTTGTGTCCTCCTGGTCAGCAGGGGAGTGTGAGGCAGGAATTGGGTTTCATGCAGAGAACGCTGTGCATGCTGGACCCTAAATCGAGGAAAGCAATGCCTCTTCTGCAGCATTCTCCTCTGTAAAGACGACTCAACACAGAGAGGCAAGGGTGGCTCATTTCTATAACCATTTCTGTCTACTCAAGGTTTAAGATTCCTCTAGATGCTGCACAACAGAAAGCACTGGGATAAGCACTTACCCTTTTTTTTCTTTTTTGAAGTTTATTTATTTATTTCGAGGGAGACAGAGACGGTGTGAGTGGGGGAGGGACAGGGAAGGAGGCAGAGAGAGAGAATCCCAAGCAGGCTCTGTGCTGTCAGCACAGAGCCCGATGCGGGGCTAGAACTCACGAAACCATGAGATCATGACCTGAGCCGAAACCATGAGTCCGACACTTAACTGAGCCACCCAGGTGCCCCGAGCACTTACCTTTTGGACTTCTGTTTAGAAGACCTTCAGCTGGTTGGCAGACTCCGAGCTCACCCCTGACTTTCACTGTAAAGCTCTTTCTTTCAAAAGAACAAACCTGGGACTCTGGGCCAATATATCATGGCTGGAAAGAGCCACTGAGGAAAAGCAAGAAAACAGCAAGCTCAGTCATCAGCATCAAAACTGCTGAGCATTTTCAAAAGCATCTCAATAAAAGTCATTCCAGCTCTCGCCTCACTCTGGCCGTGCCTAGTGCTTCAGGCAGTGAAGCTCATTCTGACGTTATGTTCTCCCCTTGTTTATTTAGTTGGCCTCCGAGGGCGGGGAGAATTTTTCTCAGCTAATCCATTAGCTAATCCATGAGCTAATCTAGCTCACGATGCCTGCAGCCCTGCCTGCCTGAAGCGGGCACCAGCCAGCCCTTGCCCGGCCAGGAGCTCAGGTTGGAGCAGAGAACGCCATGCAGATGGGGTGGGGGCAGGAAGCGTGTCGGCTGTTCTCGTCCTGAGGGGAGATTCCTTGGCACCGTTGGTCCCAGATCTTTCTAGGCCAATGTGATGGAGATTTCACAGCGTCCAGGACTCATGCCGCCCAGTGTGCACGTGGAGAGTTTGACCCCACATAGTAGAAATGCCAATATCCGTACAGACCATTTTGGTTAGTAAAACACTTTCACACCCAGGGTCTATCTGATCTCAGAACAATCTGTGAAGTGGCTGGGCAATTATCAAATGCAGGATGATTATACTTTTTTGGTGGTGAGCTACAGAAACCAATTTTGGCTAACTGCAGCCAAAAGTGGGTTTATCTGGAGGATATAGAAGACTCACATACCTGAAGGAGCAGTTGAAAAATGCTCATCGTGTCCATCCTTGGGACCCTATGGTTAAGAGTCAAGGATCGGGGGAGAGAGTCTCATGGGCCCAACTGGGGTCAGTACCCTGCTCCTGGGTCAGCAGAGCCTTTACCGACAGAGCCCTGTCAAGACTCAACAGGGGAGGGCGCATTGGATCCGAAGCAGAGGAAGGTTATTTCCCCCAATGAATTTAAGATGCTCTTACCAGGGAAGGGTTATGGAGGTTGGTGGGTCAATCACAACAGTGTA